CAGAAAGCTCCTAACTTAGCTTAAAAATTCTTAGCAAACATTCTCAGAGCGAGGAATGGACACAAACTTTTATCTTAGGTATGACACATTTGTTCACAAGCTGTGATTGGCTAATCAAAAAAAAAACTGGAGATAAAAAGTCAAACGGAGAATCTAGTCAGACATTGTGTTATTATGAACACTTTGAAATTAGCATCTGTTTGATCATTTGTAAGACGTACTTTATAAGTATAAAGCCTACAAGATGTTTAAAATCACATGTCCACTTGTGCAGCAGCTTCTTCACATGCTGATCGTTACATCATCATGTGAAGAGGCTTAATTAGTGATTGGATGAACCTGTGGAGGTAACCACATGTAGAGAAACTCAACATGCATGTCTCACTTCGTACTGAAAAAAGTCATAGATTGAAATGTGATTATTTTTGTCTGTTTGGCCCAACTATGAATCAAAAATATTCTTCATGTTGTGTTTGGAGAACATTTCTTGATTTTCTCCTCAGCTTGAGAAACTCTTCATCCTGTTAAAAGTCCTCCTCACTAATCCTTACACTTTTACATCTTAGGAGCTCTCTTAAGGGCTAAGACGCTTTGTGAATTACTTTCAACTTCACAAGGATCTAGTCCTAATCTTGAGGGCAAATTCTTCGTAAATTTCCTGATTCTAAGAATTTTCTAAGAATTTTGTCACTAGGAGCAACTTTAATACTCAGGAGGCTTTGTGAATACGGCCCCTGATGGGGTTTTTTTCCGGACTCCTAGCAACATCTCGCTCACTTGCGGCTAGAGTACATTGTTCCCTAAAGGTTAACCTGTTATATGGTTAAACAATCTGTAAGAGCTGCTGACCTTTAATGTTTATGTAGCTAAGAAAACAAACACAGAGGCTTCAATCTGCTCTCTACTGAAATGATTCTTATATTGACTATAACTGGCGGAGAAACACTTGAAATGCACTCATATCAGTTTTGAAAAAAGGCCAGTTTAAATAATGGGATTGCCCAAGAAATTAACTAGAAAAAGGATGGAAACTATTTATCATCCTTTATTTTACTGAGACTGAGGTCCTGCAGCAATACAATGAAAGCTATAACAAGAAAAAAAAAACATATAACAGGCAGTTTAAATAATTACAAATATATTCATATACACACAATAATTCTCGCAAACCCGTGCCCTCGTTAAAAAGTCACATTTTACAGCAGTTGCAATTACTTTCACTAGTTCTTTGAAAACACGGTACGATACAAGAGAAGCCGTCATTTTTCCACATAAAGGGGTCAGCAACACTAAAAGCAGTCCTACCCCTTGATATTTTTTAAAGTGACCCAGTTTTGAGATCAGGTTGTATGGATGGAGATGTTTGTAGACAGAAGAGAAGTCAGGTAAGGAGTGAGTTGACCAATGAACAAACAGAATAATGTGCTGCTTTCTATGCTGACCCATGAAGGGCCAGACAACAGATTGATACAAGTCACAATGGTGAGCATGAAAACTGTCAACAGTGATAAAATGAATAGCACAATGTTAGTGTGATGACAGTTTAAGTGGAGACTGATACGGCCTCCTTCATGTTATAATTAAACACAAGGCTCAGGAGAATAGTACGACAGAGGATTAGGGCCACGTTAAAACTTTAATTTTTTTTTTTTTTTTTTAATTAAAGTCGTAAATTTACGAGAAAATTATGAAGTCTTTTCCTCTGAAGACAACTTCCTCCCAGTCAGTGTGGTTCTTTCTTCAGTTTCTTGCAGTATCTTTTCAGGGTGCTGATATTTTATGACAATGTGAAGATGATGATGTGCCAAAAGCATGTGTAGTTTCATATCTGCATAAGTAAAGCCTCAACACAACTATTTGCGTCTGTTATCTGTCTGCCTTGTTAAAGTGTCTCATGTGCAGAGACAGTTTGTGTCCTGTTCATCATTTTACAGATAAACAAGGTCTTCCAAATTGAAGTGAAAACTTCTCTTGAATTAACTGTTTTTACCGACTACACAATGAAGTAGCATTTTTCCTTATTAGTGAAACATTTAGGACAAGATGCTCCATGTTTGTCATTTGAGAACAGAATACTGCTGCTCTTCTGATAAAGACTAAAATAACCACTTTGTTCTTTTATTCTTTAAAGACTTCTAGAGAGTTCTATTTTCATCGGGGGGGCAGTAGCTCAGTCTGTATGGACTTGGGTTGGGAACCGGAGGGTCGCCGGCTCAAGTCCCGGCACGGACCAAGCTTGGCAGTTGGTCTGGTAGCTGGAGAGGTGCTAGATCACCTTCTGAGCACTGCTGTAGCCCTTGAGCAAGGTACCAAACCCCCTCCCCACTGTGGGCAGCTCCATCACTCTGACATCTCTCCATTAGTGCATGTCCATATGATCCTGTTTGTGTGCATGTATGTATATACTTCAGCCTATGTGTGTGTTGCATGAGTACAGAGTGTAAAAACTGAAATTTCAATAGATCAATAAAGTAAAATCTTCTTAAATCATTTTTGCGCAGGCTGGTCTCGAACTTGTTAATTTACGAGATTTAAGTATTAACCCTGAACACTATTCCAGCCCCCTGGCAAAAATTCTGCATTATGTCAGGGTGTGAACGTAGCAGTAAATATTAAGGACATCTCACCACGGGCAAGTCTGTGGGGGTGATGACATTTACGTCACACTGCCGGTGAGCAACTGGAGCAATCGTCATGCACGTAGTGAAGCTGCTTCGTTCCCTTTTTTTCCCACTCGCAAGCATGTCCTTTATCATTTGATGACACTGTGAATACACTCAATCACACGTAGCATTGACATAAAGGCTCAGACTGTCACCAAAGTGTCCGACTGTGTTGCTCAGTCTGCCATTTCCTGCGTCTTGTCTTGCCTCTTGAGGCCCTCCCCTTCCGTCAGACTGTGAAAGTCTCCTGCTTAAGCCCCGAGTATACATGATTTTTACTTCATATACACATGACATCAGAGCGTTGGTTGTGCATGCCCTCAGGAATAAACGCGAGATGCAATATGCATATAACTGCTAGGAGCAGAGTAGAGATGTATGGCGATGACTACTTAAGAGACACCAGAGAGCCGCTACAACAGTGGCGGAACATTTTGAAGAAAAGTTAAAGGTAGAGTGTGCTACATTTTACACATACATTTTGCAGAAATCCAGTATAATCCTCTCTGTAAATATCTCTCTGAGTCATGACTTCAAGTGAGATGTGCGAGTCCAGCTGACCGTAAGATTGTCTGAGCCGTGTTTACATCGCGTCTACACGGACGGGACAGCCGGGCGGCTCATCCATTTGTGTATAAAGTGAGTGAGGGACTAGAGGAAAGAAGAATAACATACTGTACTCACTGTTTATTTCACATAAGCGTTTATAGGTCATGGTTGTAGTGGCAATTTCTTCTTGTGTGTCATATAAAAAGTGTCACTTGTGTCATAGGAGCCAACCTGTTCGTTCCTGATGCGTGTCCACTTTAATATACTCACAGATCCGTTGTTTCACTTGATTTCTTATTTTATTCGTAATTCCACTTGTATCCAGAACAGATCCAAAATGAATATATCAAAACTCAAAACAAAAGGTCACGATCAAAAAACATTTGCTGCTTGGCTCCTAAACCTCCACCACAATCCACAAACAAAACGATCTACCTTTTTTCTCTCCACCTGTGCATCGCACCCAAATTAATTAACTCGGCTCCACCTTAACTCGGCTCCACCCATAACACAAAATACCTGCCAAAATATGCCCAAATAAATCCATTATTCACCATAAAGGTTTCCATGTCAAATCAAGTACTTCTCATAAATTAATACATATTTCTTACAACACACAAAATATACTCTATTAACACAACTTAAACCATACATCTGAAACTAAAGTTATCATGATTAAAATGGCCTCCACAATGGTCATGCAATGTGAAGCCACGTGCTAACTAAAGAGGGCTAGCCTGCTAACACAAGCTTGAGACAAGGACAGTTTTGTCTGCCGTTTGTGCTTTGTGCTTTATTGTTATGGTGCGTTCCAATTTGATAACTCCTTTGTGCATATATACGCAAGGGGAGAGGAGTTGGAGGTGTGTCGCTGTAGGAGAGCGGAGGATTCAGTGTGTGTCTCCAAACAGCAGTTTGTTTTGGTTTCATGCTAGTGCTCAAAGGCCTATACCGGATCAAAAAGTCACACATTCTTTCTTTAACTAATCGAGTCCCGCAACATCCAAAAATGTGTCCCAAAATAGCGTGGTGACAGCTCATCTCTGTGTTTTACAGTCTGGTTTATGTGGTGCTCCCTCTAGAGGAATCCTCCAGTAACACGCATTGTACAAAGGCAAGTATGTGAACATTTACGCTCATGAAGCAGCCCTTAGAAGGTGCCCGTGTGAACATGCGACTCAGGAAGATTTCAGGGGGCATGCTGTCTCGAAAATATTAAGAAAATGTAAGGAGTGCGTGTGTGAAATAGGCTTAAGGAAGAGCGTATTACCACAAAAAAAGAGTCAGAAGATGAACAGTTCAAATGATGCACCTGACCGTACATATTTCACATACACGAACATTATCTTAAAAACACACAGGAGAAAAAATATGTTTTAAGATTGAATCATGTACTGTTTTTTTAATATCAGCTTCTGTCGAACATAGATGAGAAACAGGCTTCCATCTGCGATAAGAAAAGTTGAGCAATTTTGTGGGAAACGCTGGTGGAATTTCACTGAATGCTCATACTTCTCTGGAGTAATGATTCTGGCACATAATAACTTATTTACTTTAGCAGGAGTCTGATAAGAAAAGACAAGCCTGGATGTTACTCCTCCTTTAATGTCACTGCCCCCTTTCCATGCATCCTGCCAAACTTAACAACATCCACCCGTCAACTTATACGGCAACAAAGACCCCAGTGTGTCTCAGAGGGGATGAGAAACTCAGTTTAAACTATCAGTCACACCCTGCAAACACACACACACTCACACATGCACACCCACACAGACTTCAGGATTTTGGTAAGTGATGATGTCAGGGTCGGGGGTCACTATGGGAGGAGAGGTGGAGTCAGAGAGTGAGTGTGTTTTGGGGTGAGAGTGTGCTAGGATAATGGGAGGGTCAGGCTTGTGCTGTATAAATACCAGACTGTGATGGAAAGAGGAGTGAAGAGACACTTGAGGACACTCAGAGACGCACTTTAAGACACAGGAGAAGGAAAGAAAGAAGGGATCTGCAATGACCAACAACGGTAAGTGAACTCTCTATCTATCTATCTATCTATCTATCTATCTTTCATAAATCTTATGGGGGATTATGAGATATGTGAAATATGTGCTGACCTGTATTCACATGGGTGTAATGTGACTCACCCTAATTCTAGCAACAAATACTATCCACTAACCGGGACAGGAGTCAGGCTGGCCAAAAGGAGGCCACATTTATCAATCGTGTGTTAAATCATTTCTGTTTTTGCCGGGCCTGCAGCTGCTACAGTGTTGACTCAGTATATTAGATGAAGAGCAGGTAGTTTCACAGATTTAGAACGTGACATCTACTGCTTCTAAAAACATGTTAAAATGCCTCAGCACTTAAGAAACATTTCCTTAAACAGCACGTGTGCTAAAATCAACACTGGCCAATGCTTGCAGTATAGCAGAATGTTAGTTTTTTTTCCGAAGCTATAACTGACAGCTGCTTTCAATCAGAGTAAAACATTTTCAGATCCTGATTGAGATTCCAATGTGAATGTGGATGTGTGGCATAAATGAAGTGTGGAGCAAAATGTAACAAAGTCCGAAATGTGCAAATGATGATCGATGTGAGTCCATGTGGCAGATAGAGAGAGAGAGAGAGAGAGAGAGCAACAAAAATATAAAGACTATCAACTCTCAAAACAAATAAAAAAAACTACTTTGGAAACAAAACACTGTATCACAATAAGGTTTCAGTTCTGGGAGTCCTGTGACTCTGATTGGCAAAACCTGAAAGTGACTTCATTAATTTTGCAATTCCATACACAATACAGAACTTTATTGTCACCTCTGGGAAATTTGTCGTCACAGCCTTGCAAAGTTGTTACATATATGAACACCTAACACAGGAAGAAACGCATCAACAGTTTATCAGCTTCAAAGCAGCCAAAGGAACAGTCAGCGTTGCAGCTTGTCAAGAGCTCCAACAGCTGAGGGGACAGAGCTCTTTTTAAAACATACCCTATAGCTTTTCCAGGTCGGAGTCCTGTATCTCCAACCTGACGGCAGAAAATAGAGGAGAGGATTGAATGGGTGAGAGGGGCCCAATGTTTTGTAAGATTATAGAAATGTACTTGTCTTGGGCAATACCTAGGACTTCTGTCTTTTCTGCATTTAGTTGTAGGAAATGAACAGTAACCAGTCCTTGATAGCAATGTGGGGTTATGAAGCGTCATGTCAATGCAAATCAATGACACTTAGCGCATTGTGGCGATTAAAAAAGGACTACTTTGCATGAGATAACTTATACAATCCATGAATAATAATAGAGTAAAATTAATCAACTGAACTGAACTTATTTTCATCCTAATTCTGAACAATAATGACATGTGTTCAGTGGCGGTTCTAGACCACTTTTACTGAGGGGCCAGTTGTTTTGAGGGGAACATTAAACCCAGGTCAAAAATAGACAAAGATGATTGCTTTAAAAAATATGTAAATATTATGCCAAATAATAAATACCATGATTTAAATTTGTTTCAATAACAGAATTTAATACTAGATTGTGAGTCCGCTTGTTGAGTCAAATACTGTGTATGTGTTTTGAGCATAGACTGTAAATATTACTGGACGAACCCTGACCCGTCTGTGACATAGGCAGAAAATGAGTCCAATCGACGGCCGCATCCATATTGGATTTGCAGTCTCAACCTAACTTCGGATCAACCTAGCGACAGCAGTAAGGCGGGACCGGCGGGACTTAACTCCGCCCATTCAGCTCGACGTTAGCAGTCCACTTGACAGCATAGCTAACGGCTAGGCTGCTATCGTCAACTATTCCTGCTCGTCCTGAGAAAACTCTACAAACAGTAAGTTAACATTTAACTTTTCTACAACACAGTTAAAACTAATTATATTCAACACAAATATTTAATTAAAGTCTTAAAACTACACTTTTTTAAATATACAATTATGTTTATGAGTTATTTGTTAGAGCAGTTAGACTTTGTCAGTGTTAGCAGAGAAATACATTAACAAAGTTTTATCCATAGACTGTAAATATGAGACATCCAGAAGAAATCAATATTACAAAGCATACAGTTCATGTTACTGTTCTGACAGAGGAATGTCTGAGTCTTATATTTACTGATGTCAACAGCGATGAGGTGAACATGACAATTGAAAAATAATTATTTAGTATTTATTATAAGACATTTGTTTTCTATTGAACCCAGTTGAAGTCATGGAGTCTGTGGACAGTGTCAGCTTCACACCAAAAACTTTAAGTATTAGAAAAAATAGTATTTAAGACTGGCATCTATTATGATGAGTTGCAGCTACCTTGTTCAATATTATTCCTGCAGATGTGGCTCATAACAAAAAAACACCCTGAGCTGTCACATGTAGTTAACTGTACGTTTTGTCTTGTCTGTGGCATTAATTGAACACCTTTGTATTTCTCCTATAGACACAGTGTGGATTATTGGTGACTTGTCCGTCGAGGTGCCCAGAGAGCTGCAGACAGAGGAAGAAACCTGAGCTTCAACAACATCTGCATTTGTTGGTTCTTCTGGGGTGGACTTCGGTTGCTTCTCTTCAACAGCTCGCTGTGAGGGAGGTCTCCCCCGGACAGCCTGAGTGATGTCACCCACAGAACTGAGAGCTGGAGCTGAGACGGGTTTTAAGCCTTTTGACAAACCGTTACACCGCGCCCACCTGTCAAGCTGGTCAGCTACACGCCTTATTGTGAATAACTCTTATCCTTCATCAAAACATTCACCCCCCGTACAGTGTGTGTCCATCGAGACATGAGCTAATCACACCTATTTGTTTGTTTTGTACCAAGCTGTAAACATGTTCATCTCTGCTGTAAAAACAGACTTTTTTTAATGTTGTTTTTCAGATTAAATAAATATTTCTATATAAATGCACTCCTTTATGTCTACTTATGAGTATACATTTCAGATTAATGCTCAACTCAATAGCTTAGGGAAGGAAGTCTACTTTTACACAACTTCTTATTCTTTTGATAAATACTAATGTAGTTCATTTCTGAAAGTGGGATGGAACAGAGTCATTGCAAAAATTTGCCCTTAAACACAGCCCCATTCTTAAATCAAGATACATGGAGAGTAAATAAGATCAATAACTTGTGAATAAAAACACAGTTAAAAATGATTTAGAAATGTAGTCTTCCCTGATCAATATCACATAATATCAACTTCTCCCATCTAAACTGGACAAAGGGTTTTAAAATGGGAAGAAAATAGTTTGATTGCGAGTTGTTTGGAGGAGATCTAGTTTTATTTGAACAGCATGAATACAGTCTTCCAAGGTGCAAACCCTCCTCCTTCTTCTGAAGCTTGTGGAGCTCGTTGATGTACTGCTGTCTTATCTGCTGGCCATCTTCTCTCAGCAGAACTTCAACTGTTGAAAAGTCATTCAGAAGAAGCTCGAGCATGTGACATGGATCCAGGAGAACATGGACTTTTAGTGAGAGGTCTTCAGGATGGCAAAGAAAGAGAGAAAAAATCAGTTATTCATTAAATCATTTTTTTTGTTCTCATCTATTTTTCTGTATTCATCTGTGTGTAAGAGCACATTTATGAATTCAACAGTGTACTACCCAGACAACAAAGGTACAGTATTCAGGTAATCAACATCTATTCAAAGTTAAGAAGATAAACATTATTGTAATCATGCTGTTTTCAGCTCTCTCACTCACACAATGATATTCCACATCAAATTGTCTCAGATTTTGTGAGGAAAAATTCAGCAATTTATTGTGGATAGTACTTCATCTTAACATGAAACAAATATAATCTGAATTATTTAAATCATTAACAGGTCCCAACTCTCTGTGCTTTAGTACAGAACATACAGTAACTCATTTATTATTAACATGAGCTCAGTACATGGCTGTACTCTTCAAACTATTTCTTATACTTTATATCTATGTGCTTTAAATCTTATTTTCATTCCATATGTTATTTATATTTTATATTTCTACAGCTATATTCTGTGTATGAGTTCAGTGAAAATTAATATGGTTATTAATATATTTCTTAATGGTTACAGATGCTCTTACAAAGTGAAGTTTTTTTTATTTGTTAACAGTTTGCTCAAATCTTAAGACACTACATCAACCATGTAACTTTAATGTCATCCTCTATAACCTACACAGCACATTAGGTTCAGTTGAGTTTATGTTACTGACGGATAATTACTACACAAAGTTTGTTTTTTAATGTCCACATTTACGTGGAGTATAACATTCATCATAACGTCAGATAACCACCGAGCTGAACCTTTAGCTTCTAACATCACACAAACTCATTTTCAACAACAACATCTTAACAACAAACATTTCTAAACCATTGACCGTAAATAATGTTAATAATGAGCTACACAGTTAGCCGACTGGTTTACAAGCTAACGCTAAACAAGCTAGGTCCGTAAATATAAACACGAGTAAGCAGTAAATATAACACTACTATATCACTTACCGAAAAAAACTGAAGTATCAACTTCTTGGATGGTCTGTTAACCGCACAGCAAGCCATGTATGTTGTCAGATATGTGTTAAACAAACTCTCCAAACGATGTAAAAAAGAGGAGAAATCAGATGGATCAAGCTGTTAGCCTCCTGACCTGCTGACCTCCTGACCTGCTGACCTGACAGACAGATGCAGCGCGCAGAGCTGTCAATCAAATCTGACACAACCAAATATGGGCATAGTCGTTTTCCTTTATAGAATAAAATCCGATGAGTTATAAAAAAATTCACCCCCCCCCCCCACAGTGTGAGGAGAAGGGGCCGTCAACTTCTCAGATATATCTCGTTTTTTGAACCAGGCTGTAAACATGTTGATTCCTGTGGTAAAAACGGGCTTTTTTGGCTGTGGGCTTATGGCACTTCCGGCGCTTCTGCAGCCAGCCTCAAGCGGAACCTCGAGGAACTGCAGTTTTTTGTACTTCCGCATAGGCTTCATTTTTCAAGACCGGAGGTTGCCCCTTGGTTTTGAGGAGGGCTCTTCCTTTTGGAGAGGTGGCCACAGGGGAGGGCCCTGCATTGAACCGCCAATGCATGTGTTGGCTCTGTAATTAGTAGAAAGGCTTACTTTTTATGGTAGGCCTATTGCAAATTATCTTAACCGCAATTTTCTGGAGGTTACATCAACTTTACAATTATTCAAGAGAAGGCCACTCTAGATCACAAGTTATGTATTCTGAACGAAATGGATGATAAAAGTCGGCCATATTTCCAGAATAAGATTGTGTCTGTTGGTCTCATGAGTGCGAAAAATGAATAACTGCCACTAGCTGGATTTAGGTGGATAGCAGGTTACTAATATGAGATAAATGAGTAAAAATGGTGACATGGTTACCAATGCAGACAGCAACAGTGCCTGTTGTGTTTAGTGTGCATGCCCCATGTATAGAGGCTATAGTCCTCCGAGCGGATGGCCCAGGTTTGAGTCCAACCAGTTGCTCCTTTTCCCGCATGTCATTCCCGACTCTCTCTCGCTCCGATTTCTGACTCTATATGCTGTGCTAGCACTACATCCATTTTTCTTCCGCTTATCCGAGGTCAGGTCACGGTGGGAGCAGGCGCAGTAAGTCAGCCCATACTTCCCACTCCCCAGCAATGCTTTCCAGCTCCTCCTGGGGGATTCCGAGAAATTCCCAGGCTAGACGGGATATATAATCCCTCCAGCGTGTTCTGGGTCTCCTCCCAGTTGCTCTACATAAAGGCATACAAAGCCATAAAATAAACCTTTAATAAAAAAAATACCTGCCTTTTATCAAGAACAATCAAAAATGCCAATATCACTCCAATTTAAGCATCACTTTACTCACTGCCTGTTGATTTCAGAATTACATTTTAAGATTATTTAAGGCACAACACGGGCTGGCCCCTTTCTGTATGTCTAAGCTTTTAACCCCTTATGAACCAGGACGCAGTCTGAGATCCTCTGGCAGAGCCAAACTGGCTGTTCCAAGGTCCAGGCTGAAAACTAAAGCGAGGCGGTGATTTCGCTGTCAGAGCCCCCAGACTTTGGAAAAGTCCTGCCAGAGGAGATAAAACTTTTACCCTTTAATTGTCTGCTGTGAAACACTCTGTTAGCTGTATGAAAAAGTGCTCTACAAATAAAGTATTATTATTAAACCTCTGAAGCATTACTAAGTTTGCAACAAAAGTCCAACTCCATGATCTTATAAATGTTTTCTTGTAAAAAATATTGCACAATAATTAATGTCCTGAATAAAAAAGAATAAACAAAGACAATAATCTTTACTGCCCCACTTCCCATGTTCGCTACAATATATAACCTGTATACATATTATGTATAAACTTGCTCTTTGTATGTATGATGTATTAATCGTGTAAATTCCCCCTGAGCATGAGAAAAACAGAAGAGAGTGTCCTGGCTCTTGATCATTTTTAACCACACAGAGTTGTAGTGTTCAACTGTAGGTTATCTAGTTCAGATTATGACTTTTGCCCACCTGATGACCGCAATTAAGTAATTACCCCTTAGCCAATAGCCCTCGTTGCAGCGTCTGTGGGTTTGAATCTGACCTTTGCCCTTTGCTGCATGTCATCCCTCACTCTCTCATCCCAACAGTTCCTGTCTCTAGTCAACTGTCCGATCCAATAAGGGAAAAAAAATACAACTTTGAACTGTGACCACATGCCAAACTGAACTCTGACTGAAAACTCTCCCATCACTAAAGAAAAAAAAAAAAGATTGTCACAGAGTGATGATGATTAAAATGTGTCTCTGTCGGTCCCATTAGGTTTGATCATCGATGTTGATGTGAGAAGTCATGAGAACAACTTGTTTCACCGCACCAGGGAGATCGATCGGGAGCGCCTGATTGTCCGCAGGGGTCAACCTTTCTCCATCACACTGCAGTGCTCTGACTCTCTGCCCCCAAAACACCATCTGGAGCTGGTCCTGCACCTCGGTGAGTCCGGCCCGATGGGGGGTGATTCTGCCGGGAAATGTAGTGTTACTGTTATTATTAATGAAAAGCAGTTTCAGTTTGTGTGAGTTTTTCTACAGCAAATTTGCCAATCCCATCTATGCCAACTTTAAAGAAAAGCCTAATTATGAATTTTAAGACACAAGAACCTGGAGTGAATAAGTCTGCATCATTTGGATTTAGGTGAAGACTTACTTTCTCCCAAATAAATGTGTTCATAAACTTATAATACTAGTAATGTTAAATTCATCCTAGCAGCAGAATAACAGGGTTTGCAAGTGTGTGTATTTTCAGCCAAGCTCCGTTAGCTTCGATAGCTTAGCTCCCAGACACTTTCATCTCGCTGAATCTGAAAATGTATTTAACCCATCGAGCTTCAACAAACAGCAAAGTTGTATTGTGACCTCACCTGCAAGTAAAACATGATTAATAAAAAATAACATATCGGATGATTACAGTTAGCTTCAATAACAGCTGCTTTGGTTCTGTCCATATTCAAGTGGTTTCAGACCAAGGCAGGGCGAGGGCGAGAAGGAGACAAGACCAAGACCACAAATATCAACCAATGGAAAATCCTTGTCTTGTGGGTGTGTGACTCACTTAGACTGTAACACCGGGAAAGTTGCAGCCGTAACCGAGGGATAAAAATCAAACTACAAATGAATTGAAGTTATTGGTTCTTTTAGAAAGGGGCGTTTTCCTTCTGATCACAGTAATGACATGGACAAATAGCCAATCAGTGGTGGTCTTGAGTGGTCTTTATTTAAAATTCGGAGTCTGCCCAGTCTGAGACCAATTTCTATACAGAACTGCTAATTACCACAAATTTGAACTTGATCCAATGATAAGAAGGCCTTGCGATAAATGCCTTAGATGTAGTTTCTCTAAAAGACATATTGATGAATATAAACTATTTGGCAGCCATTTTCCTCTGTTGTCACGCCGAGGGAAGTGTTATACGAGCAGGGTAAGTCTGTATGTGTGTGGGTGGGAGGAGCGAGAGAGGAGAGAGAGAGAACGAGGCGAGTGTGTGTGTTCGGCGGGTGTGTGGTGAGAGGCATGTTGTGATAGCGGAGACCGGAGCAGAATGTGTAGCAAAGTGTATGTACAGTTCAACCTCTGCGAGCATAATAAACGGCCCGGAAGCCCAAAATAACAAGCCGAACTCTCCGTTGTCTGTTTACATCTTGCTGCACCCCAGTGAAGTGACGGGGGTTAGCCCCAAAGTTGAGAACTACGACTTCGGCCCTGGAGCAGATAAATAAGTCCCCCCTGTGCGCCCTGACCACGGTTGGAACGTGGAGCAGGAAGGTTAACAGAAGCTAAAATAGTGAACTACTGTACTCCAGGGGCCAGATTTACTAAAGGTTTGCATGTCTTAAAACGTGTGCAAACTTGATACCACCAGCAAAAAAAGTGCTATCTGATCTACTAACGGCGAGCAGTGAGGATTGCGTCTTTCATATGAGCAAAACAACACGCATTGTCCATTTAGTATGTTTGACTTAATGCAAATTCAATATGGGACGTTTCTGCCCTAACATGCAAAATACTGGGAGGAGAAAATGCAAACAAGTTAAGTTAGTACACGCATTGTGATTTACCAAGCCTGGCAAATTGCGGTGATTGTGACGGTGTCTGTATTTAACACCTTTGAAAGGAATGTGCTAACCCAGGATTTCCTTTTTCTCGGGCTGCTCATCTCTCCCCCAGCTCGCCCCCTCTGGTGTGCTCCTCTCCTTAGTGCGCAACAATGGCGAGTGTATTGCGCAATGTATAACACTTCATTCTTAAGATTAAGGGAAGAAAAGAGAGGCCCTGTTTAATGCCGATGTTTTCTTATAACCAAAATTTTCTTTGTAATATTCAGATTTATCTCCCAAAAAGCAAAAGTATTGTGCGTTTATTTGCCTCTCTCACTAATACCTATTTTGCGCTTGCAGTCATCCTGCTTTCTGTCCAAACTCTTCATGATGTAAACCAGTAGAACACACAAAAGCCTAACTTAAATAGTACCGCCTCCACAAGGTTTGCACCTTGTGTCATTCACGCAAATTTTCTTAGTAGATCACCCGCAATACGCCCACCAACCAAACGTGCAAACTTTTGGAGTGAACACGCAACTTAGTACTCTTTAATTGGGAGCTTAGTAAATCTGGCCCCAAGTTGTTAGTCCTACAAACATACATGTTATAACTTCCTTTGATTGAACATACTCCTTTCTTTTTGTATACTGTAACAGTATTATCAGCATTCAGCCTCTTCCTTGCAAGCAGTGATGATATCCAGTAAGTGGCTGGACGATGCTAACATTAGTGTCTTTGATCAAAGCTAACGGGTAAACAGATGTGTTAGCTTCAAACTGACCGATTTCCACAGTTCATTGTTTTTTCAGTTGCTGAGGAAGCAGATACAGATTTTCAGATACCCTAAATTAAGTCCAATTGAATAAAGCAGTAACATATGACAGATTAACAACATTTGAGGTCCTGCTCGGAACATGACATGTGAATGTGGGTATTAGTTTACTTTAGAAGAACCACTATCTGGGAGTCCAGGTTTCTCCCAGTGGGGCAGCCTAAGAAAAATACTGGGAGAAACATATCTGCCCCTTTTTGCCCTTTTTCCTTACAACATGATGCGACTCAGACAGACTCAAAGCAGATTATTTGATGGTGTTGCTGAAATTGATTTTCTAAATTTCATTTCTCTGTTATCTCAGGTAAGAGGGATGAGGTGGTGATAAAGGTCCAAAAAGGACGCGGGGCTGGAGACAAGTGGTGGTTTAACCATCAGGGAGCACAGGATGAGATGCTGCTGACCCTGCACAGTCCAGCAGACGCTATCATTGGCGAGCATCACCTGACTGTGTTGGTGATGTCACCAGACGGACGCATATTAGAGAAGATTGAGAAAATTAAGTTCCACCTGCTCTTCAACCCGTGGTGCAAAGGTAAGCAATGTGCATATACATTTTTTTTTAATTTTCATCACATCACACATCATGCAAAACTGACATTTTCAGTTCAGGCACAGTCAAAAGAAAAAGTTTCTTTTGACTGTGTAGTCACCCAATTAAAACATGAACATCTCCCTGATTTACAATAGTTTTATTTGCATTAAGTTGGATAGGAAAAATATTGGAGATGCTTTTGAAAAATGAAGCGAGGTTAGAACACAGAAGGATTTCAACAATGATGCAGAGCTGGCTAAACACTGAAGCTTCAGTGTCCGCCACATGGCAGATGTATGCACAGCGACTCTAGAGGGGGGGGTGTTACCTCTCTTCAATGTTTTGTATTTGGACCGCAGTACCCAATCTAAACACTAGGTATCAGAGTTACACATTGCTCCTTTAATGCTTGTATTCCTTTAAGGCAAAGATAGAAGATTGATCATGTAAGACTTGTGCCTTTTGTATGTTAATGGGGTTTGTGTGTGTGTGTGTGTGTGTGTGTGTGTGTGTGTGTGTGTGTGTACTAGATGATGTGGTGTACCTCCCGGATGAGAGTCAGCTCCAGGAGTATGTCATGAATGAAGATGGAGTCATCTACATGGGGACCTGGGATTACATCAACAGTATTCCCTGGAATTATGGACAGGTAGTTATCTCTCTATCACACACATACACACATACACACTGACCCACATATTGTGTCTGTGGGTCGAGTGTGACTGTCAGGTCAGTAGTTGGCCTGTGTGAATTGTCACAGCAGTGTGACAGCAGAGACTCTGAGCTACAGCTGAATCAGGAAATCTTGTTTGTTGGACAGAGGAAACTTCTGGACGGGGGTGTCAGAATGTAACCAAACCACACAAACAAGGGCCTGTCCCTTCGCTGCTCACTGAGAGGACAGAGAGGAAGACAGACAGGAAAACAGACAGACAGAAGATAGATAGACAGGATATGGTGAAACAGACCAACAAACAGGAAACATGTGATTAAAAAACAGTTTGAAACAAAGTCAAGAAGCATCAACATTTCTTTTTTTTCCTTTTCTGTTTTTTTCCCTCTCCTTCCTGTTTCTCTGACTCTGTTGCTCTCTCTCTCTCTCTCTCTCTCTCTCTCTCTCTCTCTCTCTCTCTCTCAGTTTGAGGACTTTGTGATGGATATCTGTTTTGAAGTCTTGGACAAATCCAAGGAGGCCGAGAAAAACACAAAGATGGACACTGAGCGGAGATCCGACCCCGTTTATGTCAGCAGGATGATCACAGCAATGGTGACGATCTCTTCTACTCGCTGCTGAAACACACTGACAGTTTTTCAGTAGAAGGACAAAGCATGCATATTTAATTGTAGCAACTACTACTACTGTGTACTACTCCCACAAACATATGAAAGCTTTACATTCAATGTGGTATACATCCAGACTCAGTAGCTCTGAGACTGGATGCTCTCAAGGTCTTTGATAAGAAAAATAAAATTAGGATGATCCAGATCTGAGCAGAGGGCTGGATTTCAGGACCAAAATAAAGACTTTTGATTACTTAAAAAACAGTAACAGTTTTACTAACAAGACAACATTTATTATTATGCACTTGAAGTGCTGAAAAGTGGACTTGTGGAGCGATGGGTGCCCTGTGCACAGCTGTGCTACTCATCCGGGGTGCAGCTATAGAGCAGGAACAACACAACATTCAAGATCAGAGTTATGCAGCGCTCTTGGACTATTCTTTACTCTGATCTAGAAGTGAACAAAACAATTCAGGATTGTGTCCCCACAAAATAGTCAAATACATGTCAATACCAATCATCAAATATTGCTATCAAAGCAACGGTTACAAACTCTCATTCTGTTTGTATTTTGGCAGCCGCACTGAACTAATTGGATGTAGTCAGATTTAGAGCACTGGTTTGGTAATGTTGGAAAGTTTGTACCTGGATCAGGTTGTTCTTGTCCATTTTTATTCTCAAAAACAAGAAAATAGTCAAATGGATAGTACCAAATCAGATCTGCAAATCCATTTAATTGTGATCCAGACTGAAATGTTTTAACATCTTGACTCTGCCATCTTGTCAATGAAACCAGCCCTGTTAGAAGTGTGATGAATAATCTGTAAGCAGCCTGCGAGTTTTAAGAAATTTGAACAGAAACTGAAACTTCATCACTAGATAATCCATGCCATATCGTAAATGTCTAAATCCTTGCCTCACTGTTTGATTGACTGGGAAATCCTTCATATGAGTCCATACACATGTTATCAGTTATCAGTACACATTACTCACAATGAAATCTTGCTTCATGCAGTGTTTAACAAACTTCTTCTTCACATATTGTCTCCACCTGTCCAGGTGAACTCTAATGACGACAAGGGTGTGTTGGCTGGTCGCTGGCAGGAGCCGTACACCGAGGGAATAGCACCTTATCGATGGAATGGCAGTGTGCCAATCCTCAGAGAGTGGAGCAAAACCAGGGCAAGCCCCGTGAATTATGGACAGTGCTGGGTGTTTGCTAGCGTCGCCTGCACAGGTGAGGCTCACACAGATTTTTAAATGTTGCTATGGTTTAATTCTCAAACCATTTTTTCTTTTTTCAAAAGTTCTGAGCACGGAAGATACATGTCTGAAAATCGCTACATGTGCCAATAAACAGTAAAGTTTACCCCAAATACGCCTAAACATTTAATTCCTGTGTCAAAAATAATGTTTTGGAGTCATTTATTTTTGACACCAGAAATAACCATTTGTTGGCACACACTGATGACCATCACTTAGATTTCCATAATGTGAAGAAAAACACTCTCTTTGTGCATTTATTTAAGGGGCTGCTTTCTTTGCAAAGCGCAGATGCTTACTATTGAGTTAGTGATAACAGGAATAATTTACCAAACAATGCAAAGAACAAAAAAAACTTGGACATGCAGTCATCTAACTGTTTGGACACCCTATAAAGACTCTTCTACAATTCACTTAGTAGATGCCGTTAAACCAAAGCGATGTTCATCAGAAAGTAAGTACAACACTAATCCATTCATACACCGCCACCAAAGCAATGAGGGGTTAAGTGTCTTGCCCAGGGACACATTGGACATGTTGCTCAGCTGGGGATCGAATCCTCGACCTTCTGATTAAAAGGCAACAACTCTACCAACTAAGTCACAGCCGCCCTGCAACTCTACTGCCACTCAGTGTCAATGCATATCAGTGCATCTGAGGCAAATTTGGAAATAAGCATGTTTTGTTGACACAATGAAATAATTGAAGAAAATGATCTAGGTAGGTATAATAATGTCATAAACAACAAATGTTAAAATTGCAGAAATTGCAGTTTTGCCTAATTATATGCCTTTATGTGCTTAAACAATGACAAATGCTATTTAAGTTCTGTGCATTACAAGTGAGAAGGGGCTAAGGTTAAGGCATGGCAGCTGTGTGGATTTTGCACGTTCTCTCTAGCATCCTCTCACAATCCAAAGACTTACTTGTTCAGTTAACTTCTCACCATTTGACTCTATACTGGTGTAACTGGTGCGTGAGTGTGATTGATTGATTGTTCCAATGTTAGTTCTGTGATTGGCTGGCGAACTGTTGCATCCTGCCTCTTACCCAATGGCCGCTGTCTGTACGGTAAATGTGTATCTGTAGCGCAGAAGCAAGCTAACTTTGCTTAGAATTGGTTTGATACTTAAATATGGAGCTTAATTAAGTAATGAAAACAGTATGAAGGAATTTTAAGATTGTCTGCTGTGTTATCTCCACAGTGCTGCGCTGTTTAGGAATCCCAACACGCCTCATCACAAACTTCGATTCAGCTCATGACACGGATCAAAATCTTTCTGTGGACTTCCTGCTCAATGAAAGTCTGGAGAGGTTTGACAGCAGAGAGAAGGCGGACAGTAGCTGGTGGGAACACACGCATGCTATTTTTTTTAATTTTTATTTACTCAAAGATTAGCCTAATTAATTTAATGTGACTGAATCTCTGCGTGTTTCTTGTGATTTTAGGAACTTTCACTGCTGGGTTGAGTCCTGGATGAGGAGAGATGATCTCACGGAAGGGAACGATGGCTGGCAGGTTTTGGACCCCACCCCTCAAGAAAGGAGTGATGGTATATTTCTAATTTTTTATTTACATAATCGCTGTTATTTACCTCTCTCTCTTTTCCACTTATCTGTCTCTCACTGTTCAAGGAACACTTCTCAGCTTTATCGCCTTAAGGAAAACTAGAAAATGTACTTTCCATCTGTCTATTGATGTCTTTAATCGCCATCAATTTCTCATGCTTTCTTTAATGTCACATAATGACTTGAAGCTGTTCCTGCTTTGGTACCAGTGGCGGTTCTGGACCAGTTTTACTGAAGAGGCCAGGCTGGGGCAAGTTGTTTTGTCAGAGGGGCATATTCAATCCAAGACAAATATACAGAGATGATCGAGCTTTTTTATTATTATACCAAATAATAGTGCTCAGCATTACCTACCACGTCAAATACTCCTGCTATATCTATGGAAAAAGTCAAACCAACATATAAGGCACAGGGGGGACCAAAGGGGGGAACAAGCCCAGTGTTACAGGGGCACTGCCTATAACAGCCCATGTTTGGTACCATTATTAAAAACGTAGAAATGTCTTTGCATTTACCTGGTCAACTACCTAAGGATGCAGGAAACGCTTATAAGAGTCCATGAAGTTGTGATCTTTTTGCTCTTCAGGTGTGTTTTGCTGCGGCCCGTGTCCAGTGGCCGCCATCAAGGAGGGAAATCTCAGAGTAAAGTATGACGCTCCGTTTATATTTGCCGAGGTGAACGCTGACATCGTCCACTGGATCATCAAACGAGATGGACAAAGGCAGAAGGTAATGCAATTTCTTTGTATTTATTACAAAGATGCGTTCGTTCATTTTTGTTTGACTCTCAAAGCAATGATGATTGTCCTTATCGTCACAGATCAGAGTGGATAAGGGGAGTGTGGGGAAGAACATCAGCACCAAAAGTGTATTCGGTGACTTCAGAGATGATGTCACTCTGCACTACAAATATCCTGAAGGTCAGTTTGAAAGTAGCTGCAGTCTTCTGTGATGCGTTAGTTGTCTTCCACTCGTTAACTAAGTTTTATATCTGCTTTAGGGTTTGTTGTCATGTACGAACATTGTCTTCACAGGCTCCCAAAAGGAGAGGGAGGTATACGAGAAGGCAGGACGCCGAGTCACAGAGCCGACCAATGAGAGGGTAGAACCAGTACAGCTGCAGCTGTCAATCAAGCATGCTAAGCCTGTGTTTGGGACCGACTTTGATGTGATTCTTGAGGTGAGTGGGGCTCAGGCAGCACGATAAATGATCAAATGAGGAGTGGATTCAGTCCTCTTTCTCCAGTCAGAAACATGACACATGCTCAGTTACTCCTTGCAACCAACAGGAAGACAAAATACCTGTTAAAAAAATCTGCTTAGAAACTTTATACCAGGCATAATGTGCTGGATTCCTGCCAGTCTGTCTTAAACCTTTGCATGAATTAATCAAACTTAAGCTTAACACTTATTTTGTTGAATTTCAGGAACATGTTCAACTTGTGTCAATGTGTCCAGGTTGCACATATCAGCATTCCCTGATAGGAAGGGGACAGTTGAGGGGCCCTATAGTGTAGTGGTTATTGCACGAGACCCATGTAGGGAGGCTATATCCTCGAAGCGGGCGGCCCGGGTTCAGATCTGCCCAGTGGCTCCTTTCCTGCATGTCATTCCCCACTTTCTCTCTATCCCTTTTTTCTGACTCTATTCCCTGTCCTATCTCTAAATAAAGGCATAAAAAGCCCAAATAAACCTTTATAAATGTTAGGGGACAGTTGAGATTAATACATTTTTACACTTTCTCCAACATTAATTTTTGGAATAAATTAATATAAAATATCTAGTTATTCTATTGTCATGGCGAACACAACCCTGGGATTATAACTTGTTCAGGGCTCCCAGGCGTCTGCTGCCTGTGGTATAACTGCCAAAGCTAAGACAAGGGAGACAGACCTTACCTGTTGCAGCGTCAAATGCGTTGTTGCCTGGACCAGCTCACTCTGCTCGGTTCTAACGCGTTCTCTTCTGTGTCGGACGAGAATGTTCATTTTAAAAACAAACAGCACGCAACAATCGCTCAACAGAAAACTTGGTTACAAAGAAAACGGGGAAGCAATAATCACTCTCTCATCAAAACTCAAAGTCGAAACATTTTACTTCTTGCACACTTGCCCGCCGCAGCTAATCAAGACGATGGCTCCCCAGCCACTGGCTGCACGACCAGCCAGGAAGGCCCGCCCCCAGAGCTTTACAGCCATGCAATACAACCTATCAGGGATGTTGTTGAAAGAATATCCTATCCTGTTAACCCTGAAATGTAAAAGGATTAAAGATCTCATGTCCAAGCAACAACTTTTTGTAGGCCTGTAATCAATGCTTTAAAAAAAAAGTTTAAGAAACTATTTCAATTTCAATAGATGGACAAATTATGTGATGATATTGCTGTTCAAATAAATCATTTCATTATGTAAATGTAGACCCACTTTTACTAAAACAGTGTTCCAGCTGTTCCCAGTGAAATGTTGTGGTGCTGTTATGTGAGTGTAGACTGTGTTTCATCTTGTACATTTTGATGGAAAAAAATATCAGCATGATCACTTACACTGGCCCATCTATTAATCCAGTCATCAATCCATTTTGTCTGCAGGTGAAGAACGAAGGAGTCAGGGAAGCTCACGCTCAACTCACCATGCTGGCCATGGCTGTAACTTACAATTCGCTTCCCCAGGGGGAGTGCCAAAAAAAAAAAAGCGGTGTGACAGTGCCTCCTCAACAAGGTTAGCAGCTCAGATAAACCTACAAAGATAAAATAATTTCATGCTAAAATGCACATGTGCGTTACCTGCACATTTTATTTTGCTCTTATTAATACTGTTGGGTTATTTGTGCACCACTCCCCTGTCTGACGATGTGTTTTTGTTTTCAGTCCACAGAGAAGTGCTGCGTCTGCACTACGAAGACTACGGCAGGTGTGTGTCAGAGCATCATCTGATCAGAGTGAAGGCGCTCCTAGATGTTCCGGGGGAGAACGAGCCCATCATGGCTGTGGCCAACATCCCACTGATCATGCCTGAACTCCTCGTACAGGTGAGTTAGTGCACACTGAGCACAGCTGGCTCAACTGGAGGGTCCTGAGGCTTTACCAGTGGAGAACCCTGGACCCTCATTGAATTCAGACTCTGAGAACCAGGTAAATGTAGCTCCTCTGGTGTATCTCCTGGCCCTTGAAGTCCCTGCATGCTCTATGTCTAGTAGTTTCCACACAACAAAATGATCCTGGCTGTGGATTCATTATTTGTGGTGTCTCTGCAGGTACCCGGGAGGGCTTTTGTTTGGGAACCAGTGACAGTCTTCATGTCCTTCATCAATCCTCTCCCAGTCCCTCTGAGAGGCGGTGTGTTCACTTTGGAGGGGGCTGGCCTGCTGTCTAACACAGAGATCCTTGTTAAGTAAGTACTGCTCAAATACACAAGTACAAATCTCCTTTCACCACCACATATCACACACACACACACACACACACACACACACACACACACACATAATTACAGCTGTGTTACAGTTACAGCTGGGCCAGGACAGAGATGAGGAGATTTCTGTGGCCGTCAGACTTCTCTAGCACTGTTACCATGGAGACACTGGGTGTTAAGGGGAGAAATTAGGTTCAAAAACGTAGATATGGGTTCCCATCCTTGACTGTACGAAAAGGACCAACATGACATGTCAATTATTTTGATCATTTCTCAAAACATGGTGCTCTTTATTTTATTTAATGTTTTTGCTTTATTTTTTATTTTTAGTGATTTTATCTTTACTATTACAGGGATTTTTTTTATTTTTATTTGCTCATATTGTCTTTTTTTGTGCTATAATATTGTCCATTTAAATGCAATATTTTTTTTTTTAATTGGTCCTTAATTGTTTTTTCCCCTCTTATATGAATAGGTATATAAACAGCAGGTAGATATTATTTTTGTTTTTAGGGGATTTAGATGATTTATTAAATCCGTGGTTCTCAACTGGTGGGTCGGGACACAAAAGTGGGTCGCAGGGTTGTTGCGAATGCATGCCTGGAAAAGTCAAACAGTCTTTGAAGCAATGTTTGAAACGTGTTTGTTTTGTTCCGTCTCTTTTATCCGTCTCTTTTTGTACCAAACGCCACAATTTTTTCGTGAAAACAAATCTTATGGGTTGAAAAATATCATAAATGTAGGTCGTGATTTCTCATTAAGGAGTTGGTGGTGGGTCGTGAGCATAGACTGTAAATATTAATGGAGGAAGTCTGAGTGACCTCAACCATAATAATAATAATACATGTCAGCACAAAGTTACTTCCAACAGAAACAATAACAGATCAACATTTACTATCTATTTACTATTTATCAGATATTCTGTCTCATATGAATCCAGCTACGTGTAGCCTTGACTCCATACCAATTTTTCAAATCTCAAATAATTTCTCAAAGATGTTATGGACACAGTTGGGCCCAGTATCTTATCCATTATTAACAGCTCACTTTTAACTGGCCATTTTCCATCTGCTTTTAAACATGCTGTGGTCCAACCTCTTTTAAAGAAACCAAATCTTAACCCCACTGTTCTTAATAATTTTAGGCCTATTTCTAAACTCCCGTTTTTATCCAAAGTTTTAGAGAAAGTTGTTTCAATGCAGATTTTAGCTTTTATGAATGACAATGACCTCTTTGAGAAGTTTCAGTCTGGTTTTAGAGCACTCCATAGTACAGAAACAGCCCTCCTCAGAGTAACAAATGACCTACCTTTAGCTACTGACAGAGGAGAGAGTGCAATTTTAATTCTTTTAGATTTAAGTGCGACATTCAATACTGTAGATCATGCCATTTTAATTGAACGTCTCAAGTCCTGGGTTGGTGTCAAGGGCACTCCACTTGCTGGTTTTATTCCTGTCTTTTAGACAGAACCTTTGCGGCCACCATAGGTAACCACTCATCCTCCACCGCTTGTTTTACCTGTGGTGTACCGCAAGGTTCGATTTTAAGCCCACTCTTATTTTCTATTTATATGCTCCCACTCGGTAAAATGATCCAGCGCCATAACCTTTCTTTTCATTGTTATGCGGACAACACACAGATATATCTTCCGCTGAGACCTGGTGTCCAAGTAAGCCTAGCTGCTGTTTATAACTGTCTCGAGGATATAAAATGTTAGATGGCTCAAAGTTTTTTACAATTAAATGAGTCAAAGTCAGAAATCATACTCTTTAATTATCCACACCAAAACATCAGCCAGATTGAAAGTTCCCTCGGTCTTCTCTCTGCTAACATCACACCCATTGCAAGAATAGTAATTTCTTGCAATGGGTAATTTTTGAGTCAGACCTCACCTTCGAACAACACATCAAGAAAGTCGTCCAGTCCTGTTTCATCCACATCAGATCCATTTAAAAAATTAAATAAATTCTCTCACCTGCTGACCTGGAAAAACTAATTCACTCATTAATCTTTTCTCGTCTGGACTATTGCAACTCCCTTCTCTCTGGTATAACTCATAGTTCACTTTCCCGCCTCCAACTGGTCCAGAATGCAGCAGCTAGGCTTCTTACTGGTTTTAAAAGACGACATCACATCACTTCTGTCCTTGCTTCCCTCCACTGGCTACCTGTCACTTTTAGAATTGATTTTAAGATCTTACTGATCACTTTTAAACCTCGTCTTGGCCTTGCCCCGAGTTACATTTGTGAAATTTTAACCCCCTACCAATCTTCCCGTGACCTCAGATCCTCAGGCAGTGCCCTTCTGGTTGTTCCAAAGTCGAGGCTCAAATCTAAAGGAGACCGAGCCTTTGCGATCAGTGCCCCTCGACTTTGGAACAACCTTTCCTGAGGAGATAAGGCGGGCAGAGTCAGTCTCATCTTTTAAATCACTTCTTAAAACTCACTTTTATAGACTTGCTTTTATGTGATTTCTCCTTTAAATATCTATCCCTTCCTTTTATTAATTGTATTGCTTTTAACCCTTTTTATCTTTCTCTTTTTTAACTGTTTTAGCTTTTAAATGTATCCCTTCCTGTATTCATTTTACTGCTCTTAGTATTTTTTTAAATTCCTACTCCTTTTATCGTTTAACTCTTCAGTTCTCTGTTGCTTTATTCATTTAACCAATGTCCTGTTTATCCCTTTTTTTATCGTCATTCTGTGTTTACAGCCTGTGATGTGATGTCATCCCACTCTCCCTCTATTTTAATTTCGTTTTCTCCTGATTGATTTGAAACTAATTTTCCTTCACTGTACTGAACTGCCTCTCCATACCTGCCTGTTGAATCTGTCTTATTCCTGTTATTTGCATTTTCACAATTTTGCCCTCTCTGTTGATCTCTGTTCTATTGTTGTTTTGCTGTATTTGCTTTGTCTGTCACAGCACTTTGTAAACATTTGTTTTTAAAGGTGCTACATAAATAAAGATATTATTATTATTATTATTACTAGTGTTAAATACTTGTGTTAAGGACAGGATCTAACCCAGGGGTCATTTACTCCATTTACAGACACTTTCGGGGCCAGACTCTAAAATATGCTTGCATAGCCTGACAGTTGTCAAGCCCGATGTGAAGAGTTAGTGTCACCTATGCGAGTATTTCAGCCTTCATGTTAACTGTTTAATCACCCAGATCATTTATATTCTGGAGGCTGGATGGGAAGCTTTGGTGGGCTCGATGTGGCCCACAGGCCGCCATGTTGATGATCAATGATTTAACATAAGCCATCCTCTCTCTCTTTGCTTTCCTTTTTCAGTGGAGACATCGCTCCAGGAAAGAAGGTGTCGGTGAAGCTCTCTTTCTCCCCTGTGAGGACCGGAGTGAGGAAGCTCCTGGTGGACTTTGACTCTGACAGACTGAAGGACGTGAGGGGAGCCGCCACTGTGGTCGTTCGCAAGAAATACACCCCTGTGTTTACCAGATATCAGTAATGACCTCTGAACTCTCTCAAAGCGACGCGTCTCTATTTGGTGACGTTTCGTGGCATTCCCTGAATGTGAGAGGAGGAGCTGCTCTGCCTTGCTGTGGGGGCTCGACGGTCAAATGATACAACGTTAGATCAATTTAATGCAAACTAGTTGTGTTCCTAGATGAACGGTCTCATAATAATCACAAAGACAGACTGGAATTCATCTTAATGCCACTGTGTCCTATTAAAAAAACAAACAGCCTATATATGCCTATGTATGTTCTATGTTCCTGCTTCTACATTTCAGTTATGTGAACTAGAAATATATTTTATCATTGCTTTCTTTTCATCAACCTCCTCCGTATCCCCTTATGCTTTCTGTTGTTTACATCGCCTTTATTTTCAAACCTTTATTTCCATCTCTGAGAGATCTAAAAGTAATCATGTCTCTGACTGAAGGTCTTTAGATGTGTTAAAAATCTTTGTGCCGTGTGCTTTTTTTGTGGATATTTGCTGAAGAATATCTGATAGGACGTTTCTTTGATTTTTGTATTTTTTTGCACTGTTTCAATTACATTTGAGTGATAATACAATTATGAAACTCCCACTTTATTACATTATTGAATCTTTAATATATATACTTTTGCATCATTATATAGCCAGGCCTTTAAAAAAGACTGTTTGCTTCCAATAAAAAATATTTTTCACAAGCATTGATTTGGTCTGTGTATGTGTATGTTTTTAATTCTGATTTTAGGATTTTAAGAGGATCAGAGTTGGTCGTCGCTCAGGCGGGAGGCCGGGGGTTCGATCCCCAGCTCCGGCAGCTACATGCCCCATGTGTCTTTGGGCAAGACACTTAACCGCAAGTTCCCGCTGCTTGGTTGGCGGTGTATGAATGGGATTAGTTACTTCTGAAGGTCACTTTACATAGAAACCTCTGCCATCAGTGTGTGAATGGAATTCAAAGTGCTTTGAGTAGTCTGAAGACTAGAAAAGCACACGGGAACTTGAGTCAATTCACCATTTACATTATTTTCCATTCTAAGTGGCAGTAAAAGACGGGGTACATGGACATAAAACATTTTATAAAGAAAATATATCACATTGTACACGCGACCTCACAGGCTCTCCTAAATGCCTTAAAAATACTTTTGTTATTTAACTGTTAGATACAGAATGCATCTGTTAACTTTAATTTGTTAATAATGTGATCAGACGAGTATGACATACACTTAAACAAGTCGGCATAGTCTACACCAAGGTGTTGGGGTTGTATCAAGTCAACTTTGCTGATATTCTTTAATAATTATACTTAATTATTAATAATATAAATAAAATATCATTAAACTATGTTTAATCTCGTTTTGGGGCACCAACCTGTAATTAGGTAAATATAACCAAAATATCACTCAAATCAGTCTCAAATTAGTTATTTAATTACTAATATTATTAATAATGAATAACTATATTTAATAAATTGAAGGCGTGAAATCCGTACACAAAGCCTTCGCACCCAGCTTATATCACAATGCAAATACACCAGTAACCACAAACAACTGCTCTCTTAAATTATAACAGAATTTATTTAAACAAAGCAACATCAACCCAAAATCAATGAACAATTAAACAAATAACTATTATAAACTAATCTAAGCAACAAACATTATCAAGCAAAGGCTTGTGGATGAGGTGTAAATGTGTGTGTGTGCAGATGAGTATGTATGTAGATGTGTGTGAGAGAGAGAGAGAGAGAGAGAACAAGATGGTGGAGAGAGACAATGCACCATGTGGCTTCGTCACATGGTGACAAAAATGGTGGACAACAAAGGAAGCCGTGTGGCTACCTTTTGAAATAGTTTGAGCTCTCTGAGCTGAGTTCAGTAACTGTTACTTAAACACCAGAAAGCCAGTGGCCGGACTTTGATTCAACGGCGGGTACACTGGTCTTTCTGATTGTGAAAGCCGTTGACTGAAGGTAAACTAGCATAGCATTAAACACATAGACGAACACAGCAGTTCATTACAATAAAACAAATGCAGTTGCTTACAACAGATAATATACAGAATGTGACGTGTCGTCAACAATGATGCATAATTATCAGTGGTTATAAAAGAAACATAACTATTTCTGAAACTATTTCTGCCCAGACCAAAGCTCTTACTTGGGGTAACTCCTGGTGATCGTTGCAAAGTTGGTTAGATCGTCACTCTGTTGAATGTTAAATCAACAGATTCAGGCAGGTTTCCTTCGTGCCAGATGTAGGAGGAGGGTAGCGGGATTCAGATCTTCGACCAGAGCGCTGCTCTATAAGGTCTTCTGGTTGCAGGAGCCGGGTTCTTTATGTGTCCTTGTGGATTCAGGGATCAGTGGGCTTCCTTCAGCGCTCCTGTCCAGTTGCGTTCAATGACGTCTTACGAAAAATCAAAGGAAAGAAACTCTTCTTTTTGCTCGAACCTGATAGCATCTGATTGCGCCCAAAACTCCTAAAAATATGCAGTGGAAGTAGTCAGCTGAATCCTCTGATGCTTGAATTCAGCATGTGAAGAGCTACCTATACTGAGCAACCTCAGCTCTGGAGTTTAACCTATGTAAGTCAAGAGGAGGAAAGGCTTTGTCTCGAATGCTGGAGTCCATCATATGGAGAGGGTATCCTCTGGTGTCGGCAGACCACACTTGAAGAGAAGGAAGCAATGCCTGGTGATTGCTTTTAAAGACTGGAGCTGCCTGTGGGTTTACCTCAGGCCTCCTCCAATGAGGATAGAGAATTCAGACACCCCCCCCCCACTTTTCACACCTATTTGTTGGTTTCTGTTGGGGGGTTGCTGGGCTAAGACCCCTTTGTTCAGTTCCCTCCAAAATACTCTAGTCAGGCTTGAGAACTGTGATACAGGCCTGAGTCGCTTGTCCCATGCACATGGCTGAGGCCCAACAAAGGTCTTTGTATGAAAATAGGATATATGACAGAAGACTTAAAACTGGATTCTGTCTATAGGACTGTAGGGCTGCGCTCATACTCATATAGAATCTGGAGATACGCTTAATATTTACAGTCTATGTTCTTAACTTTCCTTCATTGCAGGAACCAGTGTGAGGCTATCTATCTCCACCATACAAACTACAGACTCTTCCAACAATCATCTATCATTTTCTACATACCATGCTACACATTTTTTCTAACATCATTCATTTTATATTTACATATTTTTTACTCTTTTGTCAGCTGGTGTGATGCAAACTTCTTAAAACTGAATGTTGGAAAAACAAAAGGAACTGATGATAGAATTTAGAAGAAAAAAGGACGAGGTCTCCCCCAGTGATCTTTAAAAGGCCCGTTTCTGCACACAATATTGGCTTACGGCCATACCACCCTGAACACGCCCAATCTCGTCCGATCTCGGAAGCTAAGCAGGGTCAGGCCTGGTTAGTACTTGGATCGGAGACCGCCTGGGAATACCAGGTGCTGCAAGCTTCTTCATTTTTTTTATCATATGTTTTTTTTTTTCTCTCATATGGCGATAGAGACATAGTAACATGTTCAAAAATTCAGCCAGAATCAATAATGGCCGAGGGCATGAGATCTTTAAAAGGCCCCTAGCCCCCCTAGTAGAGCCTGCCCTAGCCATTTTGGTGCCCTAGGCAAGATTTCAGCAGTTGCCCCTTATATTGCAGACAGTTTGACCACCAAAAACAATATTCATCCACTTAAGAAAACTGGCTTACAGCTTTATATTTAATAGAATGTCTTTATTTAAAAAATAAAAAATACTTATAGACAAACATTTATAAAATGGTAATAACACTAAAATTTCTTATAAGTAAATACAAAATAAAATAAATACAAATAACTAGTGTAACAGAACAAACAAGCAGAAGTGGTCACAGGCGGCCCAGGGACAGGTGGTTGTTCTGGCAGGCCGTCAACCAACAATCTTGAGGAGCCCAAGAGAACTCAAGAGCTCTCAGGAAAGTAGGTGGTTAGTGACTGAGATTTACAGATAGATACATGCAGTAATATGATGTACTGTATATGCACACAGAGAGAGAGAGAGGAGCTCAAGGTGCCAGTTTCCCCGGTAGTCTAAGCCTATAGCAGCATAACTAAGAGCTGGTCTACACCAGCACTAACTATAAGGTTTATCAAAAAGAAAAGTTTTAAGTCTATTCTTAAAAATACAGACTGTGTCTGCCTCCTGGACCCCGGCTGGAAGGCGGTTCCAGAGGAGAGGAGCCCGATAACTGAAGGCTTTACCCCCCATAGTACACTTGGAGACTGTAGGTAGGTGAGAAGAAGGATCTTGAATTCTATTCTAGACTGTATAGGGAGCCAGTGCAGAGAAGCCAGGACAGGAGTGATGTGGTCCCATTTCCTGGTTCTGGTCAGTACACGAGCTGCCGCGTTCTGGACCAGTTGAAGAGTCTTTGCCAGAGCACCCTGACAAAAGAGAGTTACAATAATCCAGTCTGGAGGTAACAAATGCATGAACTAGTTTTTCTGCATCATTTTGTGACAGGATATTCCTAATCTTGGATATATTACGGAAGTGAAAATAGGCTGTTCTTGAAACTTGACTGATGTGAGAGCTAAAAGACATATCTTGATCCAAAAGAACTCCTAGATTCCTAACAGTGGTGCTAGATGTCAGGCTGATGTCACTAAGGACAGTCAAATCACTAGAAAAAGTCTCTCTGAGGTTCTTAGGGCCTAGCACAATAACTTCAGTCTTGTCTGAGTTAAGTAGCAAAACATTTCTGGTCATCCAGGTCTAACGTCCTTAAGGCAGGTTTATAGCTGACATAACTAACTGGTGCCATCGGGCTTCATTGATACATAAAGATGAGTATCATCTGCATAACAGTGAAACTGTATGGAGTGTTTCCTCATAATATTTCCCAGAGGAAGCATATATAATGTAAAGAGAATTGGTCCAAGCACTGTACCTTGTGGGACTCCATGGCAAACTTTAGTGTGCATAGAGGACTCATCATTAACATGTACAAACTGAGATCGGTCTGATAAGTAGGATTCAAACCAACTTAAAGCAGTCCCTGTAATTCCAAGCAAATGCTCCAGTCTGTACAACAGGATCCGATGGTCAATGGTGTCAAAAGCAGCACTAAGATCTAACAGGACAAAGCACAGACAGAAGTCCCCTGTCTGAGGCTAGAAGTAGATCGTTTGTAACTCTAACTAGTGCAGTCTCAGTGCTATGGTGGACTCTAAATCCTGACTGAAACTCCTCAAATAAACTGTTGTCATGGAGAAAGTCACACAGCTGTTTAGCTACCACCTTCTCCAGGATCTTCGAGAAAAAAGGAAGGTTGGATATAGGCCTGTAGTTAGCCAGAGTTCCTGAGTCCAGAGTAGGCTTTTTAAGTAGAGGTTTGATTACCGCTACTTTAAATGCCTGGGGTACATAGCCTGCCAGTAGAGACGAATTGATCATATCTAATATAGAGTTGCTAACTAAGGGAAAAACTTCCTTAAACAGCGTGGGTGGGATTGGGTCCAAAATACAGGTTGACGGTTTCGACGCAGAAAAAATGGGATGTAGCTCTGAAAGGTTGATTGGAGAAAAACAGTCGAGACTAATATCTGGTCCTGGAACTGTCTCTGCCGTATCAGACGTATCCGCACCAGGTAAGGGCAGGAGGTTACCAATTTTGTCTCTGATGTCTAAA